GAGCGTCGGATTGCCTTCGTATGGGTGCGTTTTCTGTAGGTAGTAGCGAGGCATTTTGAACACCTTACCTATTACAGCTCTGCAAGTTTGAATTTCTTGGGGTCCCTGGAACAGAGTGTAATAGTGTTATATCTGCTGTTTCGTCAATCTGAGGTATCTGCTGCTGACCCGCTCCAGTGCCTAGTGTCGGAGAGAAAAGACTCACAGAAGGGAACACAACAGCTATATTCCGAACAAGCGAGTGAGTGTGTGCGAGTGCCGCCACCATTGAATGTTGCTGAACTGAAAACTTTTTTGGGGTTGATTAGCTACTACAGCGCCTTCCTGTCAATTATGCATCGCTTGCGCGAACCTTTCAACCAGCTTTTGACCAAAGGATGTCGGTGGAATTGGTCACGCGACTGTCAGCTTGCATAGTAGGTTCCGGGCGTTCAGAAGTTGATTTCAGGAATCTGACCTTGCTGATAAATAGCGTTGTAATAGACAAGTTCAGGGAATGCGTGAAAGTAGACGCCAGATGCAGTATCTGCCCCATGTTATAGCTAGAGGGTAACGTTTTTCCGTGCGCATGCTAACGACCTTGTCGTGTGCTAGGTGCACCATGCTTTGGATGGAGAACATCCAAAAGTGACCATGGTGCTCTTGAATGCTGATTACGTGATCCATAATTGAGTGAATTGTGGAAATCTTGGAGTAGAAATGTGTGTGCTGCAACCCCGTGTATGATGGTGAGGGCAAGTGTGTCAAATGAGTTGAAAGGGCACCTGCTATGCAAGAAACCTACATATATACATATATATGTATATATGTATATAAATATTGCTAACCATAGAGTTAAACCCCAAGCAGATCAATCAAACACCAGTTACCGCTTCTGCCGTATCATCGAATTCGCTGATTCACCCGCCTGTGGGATTTTTATCAGCTTCACGCCTTCAGTGTCTCCAAAACCCGACACTGTTTCTGTTTTGACGGTAAACGATTCTGATCCTATGGATAATACCGATGAAATCGATCACAACTTGCTGAAGACCGACACCCTCTCAATGTGTGGTATACACCATTCCTTTTACTAAGACACCAAATCAAATAGGCACCGATTTTGCCGGTAGCGCACCCGAAAAACGTGCGACCAAAATGTGAAAGGTGAGTGCCGCCTCCACTTTCTGCTGTATAATCAAAAGAGTGACGAACTGCAACCATACCTCTTCAATTTTCTTTCGTATCCACCTGAACGAAAACAACAGTGTTTAAAAGCCAAAGCACACCCGTCTGAAGCAGGTACTAAAACGACAGGTTGTCTATAAAAAAAGCAAATATAAACTGTTTGTCCTCTCCAGTCTATTCGCCATTGTATCATCTTTGTTACGGCTGAAAAAAACTGAATATGTTTAGTTTATTCGTTGTGCACAACGGTGAGGATAACAGAGATATGGTGCACCAACGCGCACACATGCACGCACACACTGAACATGACATTATTGCAACGTCGTCGAGGTGTGAACGAAAAATCGAGGAACGAATGTGTCCAGAGTGCTGAAAGCATCCACGTGGACGAATTACAAGCAACAATCACTCGTAAATCCCATTTTAGCTTACTCCTGACGAGCTTTTTTTCGATTTCTGTTTCCATCCGCCCCGAAACAGCTTTGTGTGTGCCGCAGTCTCCCCAGCTGTCATCGTACCGAATATGATGCGACTCGAAGTCACCGGGTGGGGTGTCCGTCAGGGTATTCCCACTCTCGTCGTGGCCGCTTCAAGTATGGATGACGTGATTGCAATCACTGGATTCGGAGTGGCACTGGCCGTTTGTTTGGCCACAGGCAAGAGTTTGACGGAAGCCCTGTTACACGGTCCTTTGGAGGCGTTCGGTGGAGCCGCATTCGGAACAGCCGTCGGCTCGTTACTCTGTCTGTTCCCACCTCCAAAGCTAGTAAGTGGCACCGCACAAACTTTCTGCATATTGCGATTGACAAGCTGAACACAGAGTAACTTGTGGTCACTAAGGTTCACAAAGCTGGGAAAGAAGGACCTGTCTATTGATTCAGCTAGTTTTTTGTCGTGTCAAATTCATTTGTTACAAAATATTGGGTGTTTTTTATTTTTGATATAGTAGTATCTATCTGACTTGGCTGTATAATGCTGAACCTCTACTGGTCTACTCTGGTATCGCCTTCATCAGAATACAGATGATTTACGGCGTTGACGATGATGATGAATGAGACACTGGATAACGTGGATCTGCTCGCATACGACTCAGTTAAAACCTGCCCCGCATGGCATTAGGAAATCATCAGTTGGAGAAGGTCGGCCTACTGATCTCAACTGCTTACAAACAGAGACAAGGTTTCCATTGTTTGTACTGTCACTGTGTTGTCAGCTTCCGCTTGCAAGGAAATAAATCAAATTTAAGCAAATGGACCATATAATTAGTAGATTATTCAATATTGCATCGTTCGGACAAGGCTAAAAATATCACAATATGGATTGTGATTGTTGACAAATTTTCCGACAAAAACTGCAATTTTATGATGTAAAACGGTCAAATCACTATTGAGCCCTTTCTATCTAACGTTTTTAGGAACATTCTCATCTTATTCGTGGTATACTTCTCATGTGTTTCGCAATAACCGGTCTCAGTGGGTCCGTTCTACTGGATGTCGCCGGTGCTGGAGCTTTGGCATGCCTCACTTTGGCTTTTGTTGTCGCCACATGCTGGAGAGCCGGCTATCCGTGGCGACTAACACAGTCCGAGATGATGCTTGACTCCGAGGATCCAGATTCTTGTGGCTCACCCATATTTCAGTCATCCGACGATGAGCAAAACAGAGGGGGGCCTAAGCCGTCCGTTGTCAGTGAGACGATGACTGAAAAAGCGTTTGGACGAAACGCATTCGGAAGAGGTGTCCCAAAAGCTAACCGTCGACCAGTGACTGAGCTAGACACTACCAGCTTACGAAAAATATCAGCGCAGGATGACGAAAGTGTGGTTCCTGACCACGATCCAACGTTCAAACGTCGTCAACACAAGGAATCTGGTGCATCAAGTATCTTAGAATCGCTGGTTGAGTACCATCCATATTACTGCTCTATTTTGCAACAACAGTACCGAAATTCGATGAGAAAAGAGCATCAGGGAGCTAGTAATCGTTCTTCTATGTCTAAAAAAGGCTTGAAATCCCTACACGGCGGTGATCTTCCAGC